CAGGGACCCCTCGAAGGATGTCCAACTGCCGGTTTAGGCCCGATCCCATGGGCAGATGGACATCCCTCTCACATTCCAGTACTGCTGGCTCCCAACTGCTCGCCTGCCTGCCTGCCTGCCTAATTGTCCCTAACTGCTCTGCCTGCCAGCCTGATTTCCCCCTAACCACTCCCCTGCCAGCCCGATTGCCCCTAACTGTCTTCCCCTGCAGGCCTGGTCATTTCTCTTTTTTTTTTTTTTTTTTTAATATATTTTATTGATTTTTTTACAGAAAGGAAGAGAGAGGGATAGAGAGTTAGAAACATCGATGAGAGAGAATCATCAATCAGCTGCCTCTTGCACACCCCCTCCTGGGGATATGCCCGCAACCAAGGTACATGCCCTTGACCGGAATCGAACCTGGGACCTTTCAGTCCACAGACCGATGCTTTACCCATTTAGCCAAATCGGTTTCGGCAGGCCTGATCACTTCTAACTGCCCTCCTCTGCTGGCCTGTCACCCTAACTTCCCTCCCTTGCCAGCCTGGTCACCCCTAACTGTTCTCCCCTGCTGGCCTGGTTGCCCCTAACTGCCCTCCCATACTGGCCTGGTAACCTCTAAGTACCCTCCCCTTCTGGCCCGGTTACCCCTAACTGCCTTCCCCTGCTGGCCTGGTCACCCCTAACTGCTCTTCCCTGCTGCTCTTGTCGACCTCCAACTGCCCTACCCTGCTGGCCTGGTCGCCCCCCAAATGCCCTCACCTGTAGGCCTGGTTCCACCCCAACTCTCCTCCCCTGTAGGCCCAGTCTCCCCCAACTGCCCTCCCTTGTAGGCCTGGTCACCCCTATCTGTCCTCCCCTGCAGGCCTGATCACCCCCAAATGCCCTGCCCTGCAGGCCTGGTCCCTCCCAACTGCCCTGCCCTACAGGCCTGGTCACCCCTAACTGCTCTCCCCTGCATGTCTGATTGCCCCCAACTGCCCTCCCTTGCAGACCTGGTCCCTCCTATCTGCCATCCACTGCTGGCCTGATTGCTCACAACTGCCCTCCCCAGTTGGCAATCTTGTGGCGGCCATATTTGACCACATGGGGGTGGCCATCTTGTGTGTTGTAGTGATGGTTAATTTGCAGAGTATCATTGACCTATACTGAGTTTTTATGTATAGTGTGAGGTAGGGCTCTAACGTTATTCTTTTGCATGTGGATATCTATTTGTTCCAGTATCATTTTTTTTTAAAGATTATTATTTCCCCTATTGCATGGTTTTAGAACTCTTGTCAAAAGTCAACTGATCATAAATATATGCATTTATTTATGAACTCTCAATTGTATTCTGGATCTGAATCTTAGCTTTGCTACTTTCAAACAAGTATGATCCTGGGCAATATGACATACACATAACATTTTTCAAACAGTTCTACAAGATTCAGAAATCCCTGGTTACAAATCTTATTTTAATCTTATCTAAGGCAATCCTGACCCATACTATACTTTCCCAAGCTTAATTTCATGGTGAGATTCAAGTTTCACACTTCTATGGGAACAATATTTTGGATTCTAGAAAAATTCAATGAGCTTTTTCTCAGTACAGAATTTATACAACACCATTCTAGGATTTAGAATACTTGTGGTATTTGTTTTATATAGTTTTCAACACATAAACATGTCTTTCAGAAATGCTCCTGTCCAATTTCATTTTGGTAAGAGGCTGTACTTGATCCTCCCAGGTAGCTTCCAACACAGATTTTGAGGAATGCAGACATATAGTTCTGGAAGAGACAGTAATAGAAATGCAGTGTGAGATGGGGATAGGCCTAGAAGAAAGAGATACAAATTTGGAAGAGACTTTGAATGAGAGGCAGATTCAGAGAAACTCTGAGGGACATAGAGACAAAAATAGAAGCGGAAATATGCTGTTTAGAAACCCTCTTGTAAATAGTCAAGATAAAGTTCAGTGAAGGAGGTGAGATGATTGAAATAGAAGTGTAGGGAAAAGAGCACAGGCATGGTGACACAGTGCTCTGGGTATGTATGTTCCTGGTTAATTTACTTAACAATGATGAGCCCCAAATTCCTAACTATCCTATACAATAAAAGCCTAATATGCTAAGTGTCTGGATGACTGGTTGGCCATTCAACCAATCAAAGTGCAATATGCTAATTATATGCTAAGGCTGCTCAACTGCTTGCTGTGATGTGCACTGACCACTATGGGGCAGATAGTCACCTGCTCAACAGTTGCTATGATGTGCACTGACCACCAGGGGTAGACACTCCAACCAGTAGGTTAGCTTACTGCTGGGGTCCAGCTGATTGGAACTGAGCAAGACGGGCCAGACATGTCCTAGAGCTCTCCTGCAGTCCATCCCCAGTTGGCCAATCTCCCAGTCTTTCCCCAGCCCAATCATTCACCAATGGGATCCCTTGGCCTAGCCTGCACCCTTTCACAATCTGGACCACTTGGGGGATGTTGGAGAGCTGGTTTCAGCCCAATCCTGCAGGCCAGGCCAAAGGACACCACTAGTGCACGCATTCATGCACCAGGCCTCTAGTAATACATATGTAGTAGTAATATGTTCCTCACAGGCTTCTTCATATAATTTTATGAAATAATGTGTGTGAAGCGCTTAACACAGGACTCAGAATATAGGAGGTGCCTATAAATGTTAGGTCCCTTTCTAAGTTCAATTTTAAGGGATTCTTTATTTAACAATGATTGATACCTACTATGTATGAAGCTCCATGCTTTGAATAAAAATATGAAATAGTTGATGTCCTCAAGGAACATAGAGAGTTAACTGGAGACTCAAATAAGTAAATGGAAGAAAACAGAATATTCTGGAAGCTACTGGTGGTTGAGGTGATAAACATGGAAATGAGAGAAGTCCTGGTTTTCTAGGCTTGGATGGTGATATTCACTAGATAGAAAAGACTATAAAAGGAAGAGGTGTGTGTGTGTGTGTGTGTGTGTGTGTGTGTGTGTGTGTGTGTGTTTCAGGGAGGGGAGAATAACAATCTCACTATGGATATGTTGAATTGAACAATGAAGCTATCAAAAGCAATACTCCTGCCTTGAGAGGAAGTTGGAATCTATCATCTCCAAAGTATCTTCCAATTCTAAGATTCTACAGTGTATGTACATTTTAATTGTTTTACTTTATCTCTATATGTGGATGCTGATATTATGTTACAGAATACTAACCAACAATTTCCAAGCAGTTGTAAATCATAAAAAAAGAATACCACGTCTTTTTTTAAAAAGTGGTCATACAAACATTTGAACTTACCAAGCCAACTGAGCATTACCATTTTACAAAAAGATTCACTTTTACACCAGTGGCCTGTATATTTCTGCAAAATAGTTATTTCAGTGTACTTAAAAGGTTTGATTTAGAAACGGCTTTTAGGGATACATCTATTGTACTTTTGCAGAAGGTATAATTGTACTGAGTGTTTAAGTATCCTGTGAGAAACTTATGTATCTCTGATAGATGACCAAATCTAAACAAATGTAAATGGCAGAATCAAATTCTCATGTCCTGATAAGTGTATCCAATGATAGCGAGATGATGAACAAAAAGTTTTTTAAAAGCAAAGGGATAATTAGGATTAACACTTTTCGTCAATAAGATATTTTACATTGTTCCTTAGTTAAGACTAGCTTAGAATATATTTTTCTGTTGATTTTAATTAATGGAAAACGTATGGCAACAAGTATCTATATGTTCAGCTCAGAAGTGTCTTTGAAAAGAAGAGATAGCCCTGACTGGTTTGTCTCAGAGCATTGGCCTGTGGACTGAAGAGTCCCAGGTTCAATTCCGGTCAGGGGCACAGTACAGGGCGTGCAAGAGGCATCCAATCAACGATTCTCATCATTGGTATTTCTATCTCCCTCTCATTTCCTCTCTAAAATCAATAAAAATACTTAAAAAAAGAAAAGAAGAGATAGATTGAGTTTCTTTTTTGGTGGGTGACTTCTTTTATCTGATGCACACTAAAATGAAGATTACCAGATCTGAAAATTTCTGGCTCCATACTTTGCTAATTTATATCTAGGTCTTGATTTGCATTTTGTCATGTTTTAGGAAATATGAAAAGACACATGGGGAGGTGAGCTTCATAGCAGACTTATGCTAGCTCAGTTTAGCAGGTGTTAAAACCAACTGAAGCCACAAGGTAATTGTCTTCATTATTGATCAGCAACTATTGCTGAGTAAGTTGAAAAGTTGAAATCATTGCTCATTTAATTTGACGAAATGAAGACTTTTCTGAAGGTGAAGGAAGAAAGTGAAAGTGAAAACTATAATATTTTGGCTCTAGCACCTCAGTATACTAGAAATGGGACAAACCAGAAATTTCCATATGTGTTTGTAGGAAGTAATTCAGGTCCACACTCTTAAGAACTTATTATCCTGCAATCAAGAACTACATTTTTCTGAAGCTCTCTCTTCTTTTTATGCTGGCTCTTAGAATGGAATCGTTTAAAAAATTAGTGAGTTGGTTTGAAATATGGCCGCCTTCTCCTTCCACTAGATGTGAAATAGGAGTAGCTCCTATATTTTACCTTGAAGTAAAATAGAGAACAATATTGGGAAATGGAGATTGAGAATTTTTTAGGGCCTCAGGCTTGTCGTAGTTGAGGACAAGACAAAATATCTGAGAGAATGATATATGCCGTGTTGTGAGCCTGAATACTAATGTTAATCAGTAAGCCAGGATTCAGAGGTAGCCACTAGGTTCTGTTTATTAGTGCAGGAAAATAAACTGAGGCATTTGTCAAAAACAAGGTTTTAAGGGGGGTCGGAGGGAGAAAGGCTTTCTGATGAATTCCTAAATCGTTTTCCTATTACTTCAGCATCCCTGGGGAATCCAGTATGTAAAGTCTCCATTGGTTAGTGAGGAATTATACTACATTCACTTTTCCCTTGGAAATGCTTAATGACGCTTGTTTTGTATTCCTTGCAGGTGAAAGCCCAGCCTCTGTGGTTCTTAATGTCTCAACAGGATTATTTTCACTAAAGATGGAAACCTTGGAGTCTGAATTGACCTGCCCAATCTGCCTAGAGTTGTTTGAAGATCCCCTTCTGCTCCCTTGTGCTCATAGTCTCTGCTTCAGCTGTGCCCACCGCATCTTGGTTTCCAGCTGCAGCTCTGGTGAATCCATTGAACCCTTTACTGCTTTCCAGTGCCCTACATGCAGATATGTTATCTCACTGAACCACCGGGGCCTGGACGGCCTCAAGAGGAATGTGACTCTGCAGAACATTATTGACCGCTTTCAGAAGGCTTCAGTCAGTGGGCCCAATTCCCCAAGTGAGAGCCGCCGGGAGAGGACTTATAGGCCCAGTACCACCATGTCTAGTGAGCGAATTGCTTGCCAATTCTGTGAACAGGACCCACCCAGAGATGCAGTGAAAACATGCATCACCTGTGAGGTCTCCTACTGTGATCGTTGCCTGAGGGCCACGCACCCCAACAAGAAGCCTTTCACCAGCCACCGCCTGGTGGAACCAGTGCCAGACACACATCTTCGAGGGATCACCTGCCTAGACCATGAGAATGAGAAAGTGAACATGTATTGTGTATCTGATGACCAATTGATCTGTGCCTTATGCAAACTAGTGGGGCGTCACAGAGACCATCAGGTTGCATCCCTGAATGATCGATTTGAGAAACTCAAGGTAAGGTTTGTTTTTGTGTGTGTGTATGTGTGTGTGTGTTATGTGGGTAGCAAGTTCACTAGTAAAATGGGTCACTTTTCTTATATGAAAAGTGAGTTAACTTTAAGTTGTCATGAGGAATAACTTACTCACCTGCAAGTTATCAATGGAACCTATTTCATCTGTTGTATAAATTTGCTTGTGTCTAGCCAGTTCTGGGGGAGTTGGCCTATAGTTCACTACACCAGTAGTACATCCAGGGAAACATTACTCTATTTCCTCTTTCAGTGATACATTACACACTACATATCTTTGCCATGATTTTTTCCACCTCTTCTTTTAAGTATGTGAGTACTTGTGTAGGTGTGCTACAATTGACATTTGTGCTTATTTGCATATTTATGTGTATAGCAATGGGAAGGCTCAATGTGTCTCTGTAGGATGGGTGGAGTGTCTGAGTAGATCTCTGTGGGTGGGAGATTTTTGTGGAGGACAGTAGTATGTGTTTGCACACTCAGTACTCTAAAGAAAAAAAGTTTGGCCCTGGCCACTACAAATTTCCATCCAGCCCTTAACACAGGGCTAATTCTAAGCCTGGTTAAAAAAAAACAAAACAAAAAACCCCCCACCAAAATAAAAATAAAAATAAATAACAACATAAAAAAAAAACCAAAAAAACAGACTAACAGTTCCTAAAAAAGGAACTTTGGTGTACCATGAAGTTAGAAAGAATGATCAAAAACCTGAACTAAACATTTAGACTGAAGACCATAAATATTTAATCCAGTATCAGATTTTGTGCCAGTTTTCGTTTTTGTGGTTAATGGACTGAAGCACTTGTTTGCAGTCCTGCCTTGGAAATTCTTAGTCTTTCATTTGTGTTCAGTGGATAGAATTCCAAAGTTTTTGGGCCATATAATATTTATGTGCAACTCTAAATGCCTGTTTTTAAAGCCATACCTCCTCATATGGATGTTAAAATGTCAGAACCAGTATATCGGTTTATTCCCATTGCCTGCCTGTATGTGATTTAACTTCTCTTAGAATTTCAAGAAAAATAAAATGTGTAAATGATTGAGATTACCACTGCTAAATAGGGCCTGAATATATAATCCAACCTTTAAGGAACATCTAGATAGGATGAAAGGGCAAGAAGTGGATGGAGAGTTTCCTCTTGCCATGCTTTGGAAAAGTCGATGTAACTTAGGTAAAATTTATGTTGTTGGTGAGGACAGCAATACTCAGAATAATATACATATTCTCTCCTGTAATTTATGGCAAGAAATATTGAAAATGCTCTGTGCCTTTTAAAAATATGTTTTTTTATTTATTTTAGAGCCAGAGGAAGGGAGAGGATAGAGAGATAAAAACATTGATGAGAGAGAAACATCGATCAGCTGCCTCCTGCACACCCACTACTGGGGATTAAGCCAGCAACCCAGGCATGTGCCCTGACAGAGAATTGAACCATAACCTCCTGGTTCATAGATCAATGCTCAACCACTGAGCAACACCAGCCAGGCGGTTTATGCCTTTTTTATTGTTATTTATATCTAATATTTATAAATTTGTACATAGTTCAATGTTTATGTTTATTTCATTTAAGGTGCTATTATACTGAGTGAAATAAGCCAGTCAGAGAAAGACAAATATTACATGATTTCACTTATAAGTGGAATCTAATGAACATAATAAGCAGATGAACAAAATAGGTCCAGTGTCATGGATGCATTGAAAAGAGTGACAGATCTCAGAGTCAGGGAGGAGATGGGAAGAGATTAACCAGAGAACTTATATACATAATAGAGGCCTGGTGCACGACATTCATGCACTGGGGGAGGGCGGGTCCCTCAGCCCAGCCTGCACTTTATCACGATCCAAGACCCCTCAGGATGTCCGCCTGCTGGCTTATGCCCATTACCCTAAGCTAGCAGTTGGACATCCTCCAAGGGGTCCTTAGCATTGCTGAAATGGAGGGAGAGGCTCCCGCCACCACCGCTGCACTCACCAGGTGTGAGCCCAGCTTCTGGCTGAGCAGTGCTCCCCCGTGGGAGCACACTGACCACCAGTGTGCTTCTGTGTTGAGTGTCTGCCCCCTGGTGGTCAGTATGCATCATAGTGACTGGTCGTTCTGCCATTTGGTCTATTTGCATACTAGGGTTTTATTATATAGGATATGCATAACCAATAGACACAGACAGTAGTGTAATGAAGGCCTGGGATGAGGCAGGGACTGGGAGGAGGGGGACAAAGATAGGGGAGAAACTGGGGGACATTTATAATACTGTCAATAATAAAAAAGGACTGCAGAGAAGAATAATCTTATTAACTTCAATTTTTATAATCCTAAGAAGTTAGGCTTTGATCTTGGTCTAGTTGAAGCCCTATACTTTAAAGTGGTATAAACTCAGAGTTTGATAGGTTAAGCAATTTGGTCAAAATCACAAAATTGGAACTGGAACAAGCTTCTAGACCACCAGTCACCAACCTTTCAGACCTCATGGACCACCAGTGGTCCACGGACCACTGGTTGGCGACCACTGCTCCAAAGGTTTCCTCTAGACCAGTGTTTCCCAAAGTGTGGTACATGTACCCCCAGGGATACAGGAAGAGTTTGGTGGGGGTACGCATTGCACCAGAGTTTGGTGGGGATATGTACTGCACCGTGCTTAGCTGTGCCTAATTCTACGTTCTCATAAGTACGAGGGGTACTCAGCGTTACGAAAATTATAGAAGGGGTACACATATGTCAAAAGTTTGGGAAACATTGCTCTAGACTATGAGTTAAGGATCCTTTGTAGTGCAGCCTGCTGCCACTTTATTTTAGACTTAAGTTTTCCCCATGAAATGTGATTTGAAACTAAACATTATGCTTCAGCAATTACACATCTTATGGGTCACACAGATAGACAATTAACAGCATCAAGGAAAGGACATATTGTATAAACTTACAGCTTCATAATGGCAAGAGATGGGGTGGGGTTGCAGGAAGAATGGGGGATATGGAGAGGATAGAATAATCTCTGCCAAATATTTGCAGGTGTTAGAACTATAAATAAGGCATTGGCCTTGAGAAATATTCCAAACAGAAAAATCTGTATCCATATGTACAATTGAGATAACAAAAGACTGGATATAATAAGCCTGTATCTACAGAACACCAGCTTTTAAAACATTATGTTTTAGATGTTTTATAAAACATCTAAAACATGAAAACATTGGATGATGGATTGGATATTTGGCATCATGCAGCTATGACCCTTGTCTCCAGGGATGGATGGAATACAAAAATATTTTACCAAAATATACTTTAGTCTGTAACTAATCAGTAATTTTCAGAGAAAGAAAGTCCAGATTTTGAATCATTCCCCTTTAATTTTTAAGGAAATGTGCAGAAAAATCTGATTATAAATTAAATAGAAACTTCTTTTGCTCATTTTTGGACAGAGAGTGGAAACATATGAATCATTCTCAACCATGTGGTTATATTGTCTGGAACATCTTGGACTTGGGGAGGGAGAGGAAAGTGCTGCTTATGTCTGTGTGGGTGGGGTGGGGTCACATTGGTTTGGTGCCAGGTGTAAAAGGATATTGGTTCTCTTAAAGTAGAGAGAAAATCTGACTTTCTCTGTCACATATACTCACTCTTTTGAGTTAATTTTAATTTAGAAAAGCATTTAGGATTATCCCCTTAATCTACTTGATTCTTCTCTGAGGAAAAAGGAAAACATTAGCTGTCAGAAGCTGTGGGGGAGATAACCTTGAGCATACTTCCCTGGCCTTAGGGAAGCACAGAAGTCCTACGGGAGAAAAGGAAGAGTCTATCTATCTATCTATCTATCTATCTATCTATCTATCTATCTAAATCCATCTACTAGAAGAGCACTATGCAAATTAACCATCACTCCTGTATACCTACAAGCCATGCCCATCAGCCAATCAGGAGAGAGTATGCAAATTAACCCAACCAAGATGGCTGCAGCCACAGAGTGAGCAGGAGGCTTGGGTTTCCCTGGCAATGGAGGAAGCTAAGCTTTCTGCACACCCTGGCGGCCCCAGGCCTCCACTCAAGGCTACAAAGTTTTAATTATAGAAGATAAATAAATCGCAACAAAAATGGCGGCAGCCATGGGGCTGGGGAGAGTAGGAGGCTTGAGTTGCCCCTGGCAATGGAAGAAGCCAAGCTTTCTGCAGCCCTGGCCTGCCTTGGCCTCTGCTTAAGTCTATAAAGTTTCAATTATAGAAGATAAATCAATCCCAACAAAAATGGCGGCAGCCACAGAGCAAGCAGGAGACTTGGCTCCACTCAAGGCTACAAAGTTTCAATTATAGAAGATAAATAAATCCCAGACCCCAAGGCCTCCACTTGGGTCAGTGGGGGGTGTGGCTGGCCTGAAAACCACCACAGGCCCCTCGCCCAGGCAGCCCCATACCCCAAGGGAAGCCCCAATCTGATCCGGGACACCTTCAGGGCAAACCAGCCGGCCCCCACCTGTGCACCAGGCCTCTATCCTATCTAATAAAAGAGTAATATGCAAGTTGACCATCACTCCAACACACAAGATTGCTGCCCCTATGTGGTCAAAGATCCTGCCCTCATGTGGACACAAGATGGCTGCCAAAGGATGGTCAGCATGGGAAAGCAATTGGGAGGCACCAGGCCTGCAAGGGAGGGCAGTTGGGGGTCATCAGGCCTGCAGGGGAGGGCAGTTGGGGGTCACCAGGCCTGCAGGGGAGGGCAGTTAGGGTTGACCAGGCCTGAAGGGGAGGGCAGTTAGGGGCAATCAGGCTGTCAGGGGAGTGGCTAGGGGGTGATCAGGCTGGCAGGCAGAAGTGGTTAGGGGCAATCAGGAAGACAGGCAGGCGAACAGTTGGAAACCAACAGTCCTGGATTGTGAGAGGGATGTCCGACTGCCTATGAGGGATGTCATATTGGAGAGGGTGCAGGCTGGGCTGAGGGACACACACCCCTGTGCATGAATTTCGTGCATCAGGCCTCTAATATATAAACACACACACAC